TTTTTCCGAAAACTTGTGTCGTCAGTTTGTTTTATGAACAAACTTTTTTTTCTGTGTGTGTGTGTGTGTGTGTGTGTGTGTGTGTGTGTGTGTGTGTGTGTGAGCAGAAATCCTTCTCGTATTTTGGACAGACTTTAATATTCCGTAGATATCGAATTGCTAGTTCGTCAATTGTGTTTGGTATTGGAATATATATAGACGCTGGGTGTTTAGCTTTTAAATCTTTAATGTATTAACACCAGCTTAATTTCAAGTTCAACACTGCTGTGGGAATGCGTGGAGTTTCTGTGTATTTTTCGAGTACTGTCGCTATTGATATGGTGAGAACGAAATTCTCGAATCTTTCTGTCGACACTGTTGTGGGACTGGCAAAGTATTGCGGTTTTTCGACGTGAATGCGTTTCTCGAATTCTTCGTCGACCCAGATGTGGGACTGGTAAGGTATTGATGTTTCGCCGTGAGTGCGTTTCTCGAATACTCGTCGCCACTGATGTGGGGCCAAATTTGGGACCACAGAAGGAAAACACGGAACACGGATTAGATGTAAGAAAGATATATTAAGAACAGGTTACAGAGATAGTGCAAGCAGAGCTTACTATATCACTCAGTGTGTCGATCTGTGTGTCTCTCTAGAGTCTTATGTCGCCTACTTAATATAGGCCTGGAAGAGTCTATTGTGTATGTTGTTTCCGGTATCACAATAGTTATTTAGTACCAAGAAGATTTTTATTGATAGTAATATTTTTTTTTCAAAAATGTATTGCCCCTATTAAAATCTATTTTTTACATTTTCATAGTGTTTTGACCCCAGTTGGGAGGTTAACTATTTGTCCATATCTGGTACTCTCACAAGTGTCATCACCCCGCCTCAGGGTGAACCTGGGAAAACCAACAATTAAGAATTGGTTTCACACTCCTCAAAACTTCCTGAGCAGTGGAATTGTTGCAGGACGCAGTTTATAGTCATACCCAGGGAGTCTCATTGAGGTGGTCTTACCCCTTTCCAGAGGTGTAGTGGGAGAGTTCTGAATCCCCACCCGACAGGGTGAGTAGATAAGTAAAATGATTCTTTGTTTTGTCTATGTTTTTCTCCAAACATTTCGTGCCGTCCCTTTTACAGTCTTCTTCAGGTGGATTATCTGCATGGAGAGAAGAGATTTTATAACTGCATCACTTTGAAATACCGGTACCGTAAAATTACTGAATTTAAGCAACTTGATGGCTGACCGTTTCGGAATACAAACGCTGTGAGCTTGGATGTGCAGGTTGTGAAATGGATAATGGCTCGGAATTGTTAACAGGAGAACCGGGTTCCAATTCTACATAGGTTCGATAAATTCACTTGGGAAAGGCATGAATCCATCTCTTCCATCTCAGCTATATGTTACTTATTAAGACTTGTATCACTAAATAATCATTATCATTGCTAAGAAACAAAACTGTTATAGTCCAGGTTAGGACCAAGGAAGAACAACACGAACACAAGAGTAGAAATAACGAAGGTATATTACACGAAATAATAATACAAGATGTGGAAGGTGTTAGTATGACTGTCAGTCTGGTTTGGAGTGAACTACTATCGGCTCACCTCGATTCGATATTTACTTGATCCCATGAGGGAAAGATGTGGCACAAGGCCGAATTTTACGTGAGTTTTCCAAGCCCTTAGGCTCGGCCAAAAATGCCAGTAGAAACTGTAAAAACAGAATCGGTTTGGTCAACCTCCCCGAACGAGGCTCTACCCTTCGGCGGGGCCTCGTCCTGGTTCCTCTCTGATCAGAGGCAGAGAGTTCGACCGTCAAGCCGAGAAGCTCGACTCGAGTCGACCCTCTCTCTTGAGAGGCGTAGTATACATAGTGTTAGAAATTGTTCATTCTATAGTTATAGGTAAGGACCCATGACAAAAACAATTCTAGCGATATAAAAATATTTTCTGGGTTTAAATAACTTACAAGGGGTTGATAAGCCGTAAAAAACGAATCATAAATTCATATGCCCACTTGTGCCAAAATCCATAGATAAAGAAAAGTTTAAAAAGGTTATGGCGACGTTTTTGTCGTAAGTCGTTCTGTTTACAGCGCGGATACTTCCATATTTTATTCACAAACATGACTTCACATCTCGAAATAAATAATTCCACACAATGTCCCTGCCGAACATTAATAATCAGACTACGTTGATATATGCATACGCTTCTAGCCGACAAGTTGATGTAAGTTGATTCAAAATAATAAGCAATGCAATGCATTTTACACTTGATATAACCTTTTCGATAACGATTTTCTTAATTAGTTATCATTTGATAAATATAAAATCTGGTACAAATGAAGTATGTTTTTTTTTTTTTTTAGAAATTAGCTTCTAGCACACAAACATGAACGAAAGATTTATTTCAAAAACTAAACTGCAAGAGAAAAATAAAAGCCATCGAGTTAGTGTTACAAAAACATGGGTAGCGTAATGGTTATCGCCGCGGATAATGAAGTGGTCAAGAAGGGTTCAAGTTTCAACCAAGTTTCGGACAAGTTCCCTTACGGAAAGTGGGAATCTATGTATTTTACTCTGTCCCCATGTGTGAGGAAAATATTAGAGCAAACTGGACCCTTACTTCTTGGGATATAATCAGTCGAGAAGAATTGCAAAGGTTATTTCAAACCTATGGAAAATGTAAAATGGAAAGGAAGCCATTATGTTCAAATAAAGGGACAGGTGATCCTGTAAAATCACAAAAAAAAAATCCTGGAAAATTATGCAATGTTTGTGAATCCATTGACAATAAAGTAAAACATAAAGAATAATTGATAGTTTTTTTTACAGGTTTTCAACCCTTTGCCGTTTATTTAAAACCATACATTTTTTTAGATGTTAAGAATCTTTTAGAGATAATAATAATAATAATTTACTGATATAAGTCCTATTAATTAGTCAATCGCTAGTATGGAGAGTTGGATCCATAGCTTTACCAAGGTTATTTGCGCGTAACTAAATATAACGAACCTGACTAGAATTGGAACTCGGCCCTCCGATTTCCAATTCCAAACCGTTGTCCATTACACCATCCGTATATTAAATCTCACAGCACCTTCTATACCCAAGTGGTCACCCATCAAGGTACAGACTAGACGCAACGTGGCTTAATTTCCGTTATCGTACGAGAACAACCAGTGTTTTAACGTGATCTGCCCTTAAGCCTCATGCATAGTTAAATAATAAATGTCTATCAAAACTTTGATATTCCCACCAGACGTATTGTTTCTATTCTTCACCACTTTTTCGTCTCCTTTACAAGTATGTCTTCCATACTGGGTGACTTTTACTGATTTTTATAAAATCTTACTTATTATAAAACGCAGATTGTGTGTGTGTGCGTGTGTGTGTGTGTGCATGCGTGTGTGTGTGTGTGTGTGTGTGTGTGTGTGTATGGGATCGTATTTCCTACATTTTTCAACCGATTTCAACAAAACTTCACAGAACTACGTAAAATTACCTTGCGGTGGTTCTGACAGCGCCCAAAACTTGAAAAACACAATTGTTTTTGCACGAAATCAATTTGAAAACACGATTAAGAGGCATCGCTGAATGAAAGGGGGACAACTCATATCGAGTTATACTTTTTATAAAGCCCAGGTTGTTTGTCTGTGTGTGGTTGTGTTCGTTTATATATGGGATCAGATTTCCTACATTTTTCAACCGATTTCAACAAAACTTCACTTTTTCTTTGGCAGGTAGTATTTCTTATTTTCTTGCACACTTTTTTCTTAAAAATTCCATTTACAAGACAATTGTTTATAATAAAATTCTATTCAATCGGTAGACTCATAACGATTGAAAACAATGTTTTTGTTTCAGTTTGGGTTTGAACAATTCGTAAAAAACAACAAAAAAACAAACAAACAAAAAACTAATTAAGACATGCGTGTCCGTCAACCTTAAACAATAATCTTTGTCAATTTTATTTTTCAGTCTTTATGATGGTCGATCCTTGATCTATCTCTTACTGTTACATCCCCGGGCAACGCCGGGCTCTACTGCTAGTATGCAATATAAATGCTCGGGGTTATTTTAAATCAGTAAATACACACCAGTCGTAAATACCACTTGTTTATTCCACCACCTGAGTCAGAAATCTCATACAATTCTAAAAGCTATTTCAAAACATTCATACACATCCGCTTGACGATAAGATTTGGATAAAACACCTGAAATTATATGTCCTTTCATTAAGCAAATATTTTTAAGAAGGGAAATGTCTTCATAATTTCCAATTAAACAACGAAAAAGAAAATTCAAAATAAAAATAAGATGTGGCAAATTCAATAAATCATAGATGTTTCAACGTATTCCCTTCACTGAACAGTAATCAAATTTCCACTTTTTTTTTTATTTACAAGCGATTGTCTTTATTAAATCATTGCGTTGTCTGAGTTAGAATTTCCCATTATTCTTGTGTATGGCGTCAACAAGTACAAGAGGTGTGATATACTGTATCATATGATGATATTCGCCAGTGATATGATCGTTAGCATATAGTTGTTAACAACGCCCAGCAAAGGCTATAGAATATACAAGTACGGTACAGCTTTTATATTGAAACAAATAACGCGTAAAAGATTTTGAACGCGGAAAAATCAGGCTTGGGCAGCTGTAGCTCAGATATATAAACAATACTCACAGAAGAAACTTTGAAAGATACACGTTATCCTGTCCCAAGTTAGTCTCATTTCTTAGTTCCACTATTTAATATATTCGCAAACAGGAACATACATTCGACGCAAACAGGGTCAGAACATCGTCATATCTCATATTCGAAGGAAGTTTCCGCCCGAAAACTGCTACACAGGGGAAAAGACTCCCGGGTGAAATGCTCTCTGTTCACCATATTCTGAAATCGTTTCAAGTCTACGGTCAATAGTTATCTATCCTACACGTTTGTCGTGATCTGCATTTTCACCTCTTACATCCATACTACAACATCACTCAGTACCCGTTTACATCGAGGCATACGGCAATATCGCATCGAAACACCGGGTTCCATACGATCACCGAAACAGCGTCGAGACTGGTCAGTACATAGATGGGTGACCGCTTGGGAATACCTGGTGATGTAAACTTAGATTTGGCGGAGATATAATGGACTTACGAATACATCACGTTGAAACACTGGTCGACGTACAATCACCGAGGTTAGGCGACGTCGAGCCAGGGCAGTACCATGATAGGTGACTACTTGGAAATACCAGGTGCAGAAAGCTTAAATGCGTGGCTAATGTAATGCGTAAAACTCAGGTAATTATTAATCGGAGAGGCGAGTTTCATTACCAACCGGGTTCTTTATAGTCACTTAGGCGCACTGGGAAAAGATAGCTAGCTAGATAGGAACAAACTGAGACATATATATATGAACAGACTGAGATAGATAGATAGATAGATAGATAGATAGATAGATAGATAGATAGATAGATATGAGAAAACTGAGACATATAGATATGAACAGACTGAGATAGATAGATAAATAGCTATGAACAGACTGGGATAGATAGATAGATAGATAGATAGATAGATAGATAGATAGATAGATAGATAGATAGATAGATAGATATAGAAAATGAGACATATAGATATGTACAGAAGATAGATAGATAGATAGATAGATGAACAGATAGATAGATAGATAGATAGAATAGCTGAGACATATGAACAGACTGAGATGGGATAAAGATAGATGAGATAGATAGATAGATAGATAGATAGATAGATAGATAGATAGATATGATAGATATGAGAAAACTGAGACATATAGATATGAACAGACTGAGATAGATAGATAAATAGATAGATGGGATAGATAGATAGATAGATAGATAGATAGATAGATAGATAGATAGATAGATAGATAACAGAAAACTGATATATATATATATATATATATATATATATATATATATAGATATATATATAGATAGATAGATAGATAGATAGATAGAAGATATGAACAGACTGAGATATAGATATATATATATATATATATATAGATATATATATATAGATATATATATAGATAGATAGATAGATAGATAGATATGTACACATTGAGAGAGCTATACTAAAGTATTTGTCAAAATGTTTGAGCATGGTTCAGGTATGGATGTAAATCTACTCCAAATGTAATTCCTCAGCTATAAAATAATTATGCATCCAGCGTTTAAGTCCAAGTAGTACGTGACATTTCTTAATAGACACAAAGAAAACCATATAACGTGCACAGACAAATGCCATGGATTCTTTGACCGGAAATACTTTGTCGCCAGAAGTCGGACCTGATAACAATGTAAGCGCTCCAGTTAAAAAAAAAAAAAAAAAAAAAAAAAAAAAAAAAGGTTATTCTGCTTTCTTCACAAACGGAATTATTTCCGTAGGCCTGATCATAAATAAAAGAAAACAAAAAAAATTCACTTAAATGACACGAACATATTGACTATTACAATTTATATTCAGAAGTATATCTGCTTATAACTTCCGGGGCAAAGATCTTTAGAATGGTTTAAAAGTATAATAATATTCTATCCCCTCTCAAGATTCTTTCGTTTTCCTTCTTTCCAAATAACTGCATTTTAGTGGCTTTGTCGCCTTGCCTAGAATGACGTGGTTCGAGAAAATGAGAACAGGGTTTTCTTATGAATTACAATCCTCAACTTAAAAATTGGAGAATATTCCGAAAAGGTATTTCGATGTCGTTTCGAAGACATTTACATCGTGATATATAAACCTGAAACTCAAGAAAATAAAATATTTTGCAAATCTACTCACAACTAGAATATACCGTGTGTATAATTGCTGTATCTGAAAGTCCGTATTAACTGTAACATAATGGATGTGTGAATGAAAAAAAAACAAGAGAGAAAACAGAGAGAGAAAGAGAGAGAGAGTGATTGATAGAGAGAACGAATGAACGAGAAATAACGTTAGAATCATGGATAGACAAAAAGAAAACGCGTTTCATAATGAAAGTGGTAAAGAAAGCGAAAATATTAGGGGTTCATAAGGGGAAAATTCTTACTGGATTGGTGCATAATTATTAGGCGTTTTTCTTTCAATAAAAATATTATATTTTCAGGTTACAAAAATGCGTGTCGATAATTATAAGCTCCGGAATAATAATTTAAAAATGCTATTGTTGAATTGTTATATTTCTTTTTCCATAATAAATATAGTTTAAAAAACGCCTGATAATTATGCACCAATCCAATATTAGAATATACATAGAAATAATTCATTAAAAAGGTTTATAAACTTACAAATGTAGACATCGGTGGTGGCTGATTATTTTTTTTTATATAGCGCTTACATACTATGCTGGAAAACCTGGAAAAAAAAAAGAAATATTCGGGAACAAAAAAGAACACCGTATTTAGGGACACATCCGATCTCACCAGCTATGAAGAAAGCACAAAGACAGACATCGTCTGAATTTCTAGACGACGCTCCGAAAATAACACCTACGAATTGAGCAAGTTTTCAGCCATAAACTAATTTTTTTTTTTTTACATTGGCAACCCCAAGATATGCGTGAGCACGTATATTACGCCTCTACTCTTGATTTGTCACATTCATCGATTACGTCATTGCTAAAACGCATTACCCATCAACAGTGTAAACTGTGCACACTTTCACTTATTGGATTCCAAAAAAGTTAAGTAACACTCAATGAATGTTAATGGCCATTTTCCCCGTCTAAAAGAATACAATAACATTATTAGAATTCATACTTAAATTTGTGATATCAAGGAATATTCGTTTGACACTTTTATGACGCCGACGAAGGGCCATTCCAAATTTCAAATCTTGGAGAAATTAACGAGATAAAATTGCACTATTTTTTATAAGAGTCATGTCAATTCAAAGATAAAAAATGAAAAAAAAAATATGTGAAAAAGATATGATTACCTGAAGCGTGGATATTTTATTGGAACCATTTTGATTCTTAATTTCTTTTAATCATTGTGGATTCTGTAATTCAGTGATTTTCGACGTGGATCCCATAGGCTCGCAATTGGCCATGAGAAAGTTTTAAAATAGACCTGAAGTTAACCCAAAGAAAATAGGTTGTCTTTGAAATGCTTTTTTTTTTACACTGGCGTAAAATTCTGAAAACACAAACTGCTTTACTTTATTTCTAAATGCAAATAATTTAGAAATTATTTAAATAAGTATTTTCTACTTTTTGTGATGTCAACGAACACTCGTTGCTACTTTTTTGATGCAAACGAATACTCGTTCTTACTTTTGAAATGCTCGTTGTAGTAGAGACTTTGTAATCGCAGATAGAACTATTATACGCTATTGAACAATACTAGTGTTAATGCCTTCGAATAACACTCACACTAATAGTAGCTCAAAAATACTAGCTCGAATACTAGTCCGTATAGTGATCCGAAGAGAGAAATACTATGATGAATAGATTAGAGAATAGCGGTCCGTATAATAATAGAGAATAAACTAGAAAAAATAGAGAACCGAATTTTAATAGAGGATAGACTAGAAATGGCGATCAATTAGACACAAGCTACCTGCAATATATGCGTTTGCTTTATGGTCACGTGGTCTACATAATGACAATAATGTTGTCGCTTGAGTTTTGCTCACTGACGATCTATGTTCAAACTCAAGTGTCAGCAGCGACAAATTATTCCTACATAACACTTAATTTTGTATAAGAATTCGTTTTACCAGACTGTTATCTGTAAAAATGCAAATAATACAAAATATATTACTCGCGCGTAACTTCAAATTCTCAACAACATCCGGGTATGACGCTTTGAGCTAACACAATGGCACAAGGACTATTACATTCAGAGCCAGCTCCGTTCCTTTATCTTAAAGCGATATAGATCCCAATATCAGTAATGGCTGTCTTAGAAACACTTTCTCTATTTGAATTCTGTAAAACCCACATTTATTTCTTTTTATACTACTGTTTTAAATCCATCAGTGACTGACATAATCATTTCTTATCCCAACACAATCTTTCATGTGTGTGTAAACGTCAGCCATCTTGGTAATGGAAAAAAATAATATTAACTCTTTCTCTCATCGAGCATTAACCTCTTAAAATACCAATAACTGTGGTCATATATACATCTTATGATATTGTAACAATCACACCAATGCACCGCCTGGCTCTAAAATTGAGACGTTGACAGTTTTCTGTCCAGATCTTGAAATATACTGAGAGCAAATTAGTCTTCTACAAGACCATAGATTTAGTGCATTTAGTGATGCAACTCTCTAATAATGGTCAGTGCCAATGCTTATCTTTACATCAACGCTCGACTCCTTACAATTTTCATTCTTCACCGGACATTTAATTTATTACACATGAAGAAATGCACTTTTAATAAATGTCTAATGTGTAAATGACGTGGCATCACCTAATGGATATAGGTCATGCATTCGAGGGTGCTCTCCCCAATTTAGCATGATCATTGAAACCTGCTGAATTTCATACTGTTCACATATAGTAATGGCTGCCGTTTTGAGTGACTTTGAATGAAGTATGGTCATGGGTGTCAAACGAGCAGAATTGTGCATTTTAATATCTATTTCTTTCGAGTAATCTAGATGTTCATATACAACAATCTCCGTGGTTTATAAAAAAAATGGTTAAGAAAATGAAAGAAAGTCGGAAATCCCTGTTGACGAAACATGTCAGAGTAGAACTGGTAATTCTAGAGACTGAACGCGCTTGTTGATGGATGAGCTTAGAGAGGAATTGGCAAAGCTGTAGGTGGAAATCCCTTGATGATGATAGAAGTCCGAAAGGAATTAGAAATTTTGTAGGCAATAATCTTTTTTCAATGAAAAAGGCCCGATAAAGACCTGCAATTTTATAGGAAGGAATCCATTGTTAACAAAATAGGTCAGAGGAATATTGGCAATTCTGTAGGCAGAAAAAACATGATGAAAGGGGTCAGTGTGGAATTGGCAATTCTGAAGGCAGAAATCCTTTGTTGATGAAAAGTGGTCAGAATGGAATTGTCAAAGCCATAGCTAGAAATGCCTTTTTGATGAAAGATGCAATAGGTAAAATGGCAAGTCACTTCAAACTGGGCGAAAATATATTATCTCAAATAAATACATTTTGCAATGGAGGTATACAGAAGCGAATCTCCGAACATACAACTCAAAGCTTGAAGTAGATGCTTTGAAGAAGTAGAAGACCTCACAGTGTGCCACTCCTTTTACAAACGAACACGAAAAACTGTGTATACAATCTACTAAGGATAAAACAATTGGACAAAAGACGATTGGGAAAAACGTTGCCTGATCTAATGAGTCACGATATTTGCTACGACATCCGAACGTTAGTGTGGGATTTGGCCTAAACAGAATGTAAGTAAAGATTCATTATGATGTGTATGAACGGTTCAGGGTGTTGATTAAATTATTTTAAGGATGAGAAATTGAACAAGAGAAGATTGGAAAAATATTGCCTGCTCTGGTGAGTCACAATTTCTGCTGTGACATCTGCTAGTGTGGGATTTGGCGTAAACAACACGACTGTAAGTATTCATTATGTCGACGTAATATATTTTCGGCATATATTGGGAGAGTGTTACGAGTAAAAGATTTTTTAAGAATCAGAGCCTATCTTAGTATCTTGGGTTACCACGTGCCTCTTTTTATGACTGGCTGTTACTTCCAGTAGTACAACGCCCCATTCCACAAGTAAAGAAAATTATGACAGGTTGGTTTATGGAATATATCTTTTACGCTGCCACAGTCACTGTCTATAGCATACTTTTGGGGTGTGGTGGAAAATGGGATTCAAACCATGAATGTTAACCAAACCCCAAGAATTAAGGGATGTCAATTACAACGTTGACCCACATTTCAAAAGACTGTTTCCAGAATTATAGTGATTATAGAAATTATATTTTAGATAAAGAGATGGAAAAATCTCATTTTAAACCACCTCTGTATTGCAGCAAAACCCAGTCATGGGAAAGCTTCGGGAATAAAACCTAAGGACCAATTCGGACCCAGAGATCATAAGACAGTTCGATGTTCAACTTCTTTCGGGCAACTCCTCCGAAAATGCCAGTGTCAGGCTCTATTGGTCTCTTGGACAACAAAACACGGTGACATCGAGGAGGAACATCTTCACATGCATTGGTTCAATCGAGGCAGTCACTCCCTTGTGAGCCTGCGTCGCGATAACAGATGCCGTGCCGCCATCAGAAACAGAGGGATTACTCTTTGAGAGCATATCCATTGTTTCTCTAAGGCAGTGTTTTTCAAACATTTAATTTTACTGCGACTCACAGCAAAACCCGCCGTGCGAACTATTATACCTAAGTGGAATAAATCAAAGGCAATCTCTGTTCACTTGATTCTTTTATTTAGCATCGACAATTTATATGTTAATTTCTTATGGTCCACATATAGTGGAATTCAATGTATCGATTTCTATCATCTATTTGTATAAATATAAAATTATTACTTTTAGAAAACCAAATTTAAAAAAAAAAACTAGTAGTATAACCAGTCTTTGCCCGGGTCTTTCATAAATTGGAAATTTTACCGTTCATATGGAGCAGTTTAAGTTTAAAGTCAGCCCATCCGAAAATCAACATTAGCTACAATATTTGGGTGCAACTGACGCAAATCCCAAAATGGGGGGGGGTGTAACAATTTGAAGTGGGGGTCTGAAAAGGGAACTGTAAAATAATAAATAATATTATTCTAATAATTTAATCTATTTATATTTATCAAAGTTTCTATGAAAGAACAGATAACAAATAGTAAAATACTACTGAGAGTAGATCAGGAAGTAGATCAGGAGCCATTGTCGCCAAGAATTAGAAGAATTGTCTATCAAACAAAAAATTCATCGAACCCGGATGAAAACTGGGGAAATGCATAAACAGCATCCAAATACACACACATTATCTTTTGATAATTATAGATATAGGTATAATTAATTATATAAATTTAACTTTA